CAACCAAGAAAACCACAAAAAAAACAAAGAAAAACATAATTTGATTCTTTCTTCTTCTTCTAATATTGTTGTTCCAATGACTAAAAATTAGAAATTGTTCATTATCTCTAGGTTAGCGGTAATAGAGCATAGACTTGCACATTATGAACGGAAAGGGTTAGAAAACTTCTTACTTCAATCTTTTTTCTCCCTTAAATTCAACTTGGCACACAAAAATGCGCAGAATCGCACTGGCAGTAGTTCTTTAGCTGCAGATCACAATAAATGCATTGAGAATCGATAGTAATGGTGCTCAAAAGAGCATTATGCTTAGTGTTTCTAAGGCTTAAAGCACCAAACACCACTAGGACCATTCAGGTCCACTTGACACTAAATAACTCAAAATCCATGACAGATGTCCATTTATGGGACAGACTCACCTTGACAGAGTATTTCAAAATGCCGTGTCATGGCAAAAATGTCACCAACGTTTGGTTGAATTCCGCAAACCTAAATTTAATTTTATTGCAGGTAGTAGGTTACATCTAGGGCACACTTACCGCACAGGAAAAGCACTGTACATGAAATACTGCGTCACGAGCTCTCATTACAATATCATCACATTCCAGAGTTACGTGACATTTTGCACAAGACCGTCGGAATTTTCTGGAAAATTTATTTTTGATTTTTCCGCGTTCAAATGGTGAAACTCTTAAATTTACTAACGCTGTGTAGTCTTTTCGGCATAGCACCAAACCATTCTTCACATAGCAGGATGTCTCATAGGATAATCCACAATGACAAAGGGCACATCGTAGGCAGTGAGAGTGGTAGGGGCGACTTTCGAGGACGAGGAAGTACTGCTCAAGGATTGGATGGTGGCAAACGGAGCAGATTTCTGGAAATTTCTGAGACATACAGTTGGTTTCCTCAGATTTTAGGGGACCTCTAAGTTACTGTGGGTTACGGTATAAGTTGGATAGATGGGACCATATAGATTACAGTACTCATCCGATGGCATATGCATACATCTACTAACCATGTGCTTCTGTGCAAGAAATTTCCAAAACTCCAAAACATTTTTCCTTTTGACGGGTATCCTAAGTGCTGGTATGCTCCGCACTTCAAGTTACGACCCTCTTGTCATCTGCGGGTCCTTTCACAACACTCTTCCGTGATACTTAACTTAGATCATAAAGCCTATGTTATAGCCGAGCAACCATGTGTGAAACACGAGCGAGCCGTGCCGTAATGACAACCGAGCGCGCGAATCCAATTAGCGCCTAGCCGAGGATACGGTAGCGCAAGTAAGCCAATCGAAAAATTCGCAAGATTTCAATTTTGCAAAGACTTATTTCGGAAACGATAACTTACCATTTGGGGTTCCAAATGCGCTAACGACTAGATTCGATATTGAAATTGGTGATGTGCTGCACACCGGCTGTTGAAGAATGTTGTCTCTATTTGTAACGGTAAGCATTCAATGGTACACCTCAAAAAATAAGTAGAGATAAACATGGAATATCGGAAGAAAAATGGGAATTTGCGAAGAAATGTGTTAGAAAATTTGTATCGATCGGTGGTGGGCTAGGAAATTTTCGTAACTTTCTTGAAATGCACAATCACAATCAACATGCCACCTGAAAATTCTCACTTTCAGTATTGAATGAAAAATGTTCGAATGAAAAACTCTGTAAATGCAAATATGATTAGCTTTCGTCCTCCCTGTAAGGTCATTTTGTCACTAAGCGATGACGATACGTGAAAGCCTGTTACATTTCAATCGTATTTTTCATAAGCTAAGAAAAGAAAACTGTTATTCATATTTCAGAAGTCAGGTATGTCTTCGTATTTTTGTGATATTATATTATGCCTGCAGAGAGTGCCTAATGCACTACTCAAAAGTTTAATGGTTTTCTTTTCTTCTTCTTTTACTTCCTTTTCTCTCCACTCCTGTTTGTATTATAGGAACCATTGTTTCTTATATCTATTGATCTGAAAAGAATAGAGCATGATCATTCTGGGCAGGACTGCACTCTCTTTCAATTGTTAAAAATTTTTGAATCATGTTCTTACTATTCAAAAAAAATGCGTTTACCCGTGGTTAGCATGCAATGATATCGCGAATAATAAAGTAATCAAACGAATTTTTAGCTCAAATAAGGAAAGAGGAACATAGAAAAGGATTCAAAATCCTCTATTTCTTGCGGAAACAACAAAAACTGTCTGGTTCTGGAGCTCAAC